GAGTACCAGAAAAATGTTTACCTGTGTTTCATTGACTATGCAAAGGCATTCAACTGTGTGGATCATAACAAATTATGGATAACATTGAGAAGAATGGGAACTCCAGAGCACTTGATTGTGCTCATGAGGAACCTGTACATAGATTAAGAGGCAGTTGTTTGAACAGAACAAGTGGATACTGCATGGTTTAAAGTCAGGAAAAATGTGTGTCAGGGTTGTATACTTTCACCATACCTATTCAGTGTGTGTGCTGAGCAAATAATCCGAGAAGCTGGACTATATGAAGAAGAATGGGGCATCAGGATTGGAGGAAGACTCATTAACAACCTGCGTTAATTATGCAGATGACACAACCTTGCCTGCTGAAAGTGAAGAGGACTTAAAGCACTTACTGATGAAGATCAAAGACCATAGCCTTCAGTATTGATTACACCTAAACATAAGGAACATAAAATGCCTCACAACTGGACCAATAAGCAACATCATGATAAATGGAGAAAAGATTGAAGTTGTCAAGGATTTCATTTTACGTGGATCCACGATCAACACCCATGGAAGCAGCAGTCAAGAAATCAAAAGACGCATTGCATTGGGCATTATCTGCTGTGAAAAAAAGCCGAAGGTGGGCCTGACTCAAGCCATGGTATTTTCAATTGCATCATATGCATGCAAAAGCTGACAATGAATAAGGAAGACCAAAGAAGAACTGACACCTTTGAATTGTGGTGTTGGTGAAGAATACTGAACATACCATGGGCTGCCAAAAGAAGAAGTACAGCCAGAATGCTCCTTAGAAGCAAGGATGGCGAAACTACGTCATATACTTTGGACATGTTATCAGGAGGGATCAGTCCCTGGAGAAGGACATCATGCTTGGTAAATACAGGGTCAGTGAAAAAGAGGGAGACCCTCAACAAGATGGATTGACACAGTGGCTGCAACAATGGGCTCAAGCATAACAATGATTGTGAGGATGGCTCAGGACCAGGCAGTGTTTTGTTCTGTAGTACTTAGGGTCGCTGTGAGTGGGAACCGACCTGACGGCGCCTGACAACAACAACATATGTGTGTGTGTGTATATATATATATGTATATATATATGTCTTTAAATTGTAAAAAACAGATTTTGAAATAAAGAGGAACAATTCCCAGGATGTACAAACTTCTCAGGACATTTTCTGGTATAATTTTATAACGTTTGATAATCTAGTATAACGCTTGATCATCTTCCTCAAGACAGTCTGAGGGGTTAAATTTTCTCCTCTCCATTAATACTTTGCTTTTCCTGGCATCTCTTTAATTTCTTAGCGTGCCCACTGAGGCGGGTGGCATCACACTTCTGAGCAACAACAAAAAGCTTTACAGTATTCTGGAAACCACGATCGCAATGCCTTTTTGAAGAGGCTGCCTGCACTTCTGAATGCACATTTCACAGAAGAGCAAACACTTCCTTAGAGCTACATCCTCCCTCAGATCGCCTGAGGCACTGGAGTTATTTGCTAGCCTACCCTAGTTAGTTTGTGTTGTTGGTTTTTGCTATGACAGGACAAAAAAGATGTAATCCACAATATTTGCTGTAATATTTTCTTGCATTTTTTTAGCTGTTTTTCGAGATAGAAGGATTTAATTTAAGTAGTGTAGCTCTCTACAGTCTTGACTGGATCTTCCACCAGCATGTAAGCTCCCACAGTCTAATTTAAACTTTAATTGCCTGAAAACATAAGCAGTCTTCTTCTAAGCTCTGAAAACTTTTGAGTGTATGCTTTATCGTTGACTAGTGTATTCTTTTGCATTTGTAAATAAAAATATTTTTGGGGAGATGCCCTTGAGCAGAATTATAAATGTTTTTATGATATTGTTTGGTACAAGTAGATATCATATATAATGCATTTTATATAGCAGTATATCACTTCTATGCTCACTTTCTAACATAATTTTCAGGCAGTACATAATCTTCATTTCTTTTAGACTCAGCTTAGTTTTGGTAGGATCCTTTGTTTAGGTAAAAATAACATTTGAAAATCATCTGTTTTTTACATATAACTTTCACTTACAATGTTGGAAACTTTTGCTTAAATGTCACATGAGTCAATTATTTAACCACTTAGAAATCCAGTAGTTAAACTTTATTTGAAAACATGCTTTAATGTGCTTAATTTATAATATGTGAATCATTGTTCACATATTATGTGAAGAAAGAATTCTCATCATTTACCACAGGGTTTAATCCTCAGGAACTATTAGATGTTGGGGTCTAATATTTCTTTTCTGGAAGGGGAACTGTACATACATATATGTAATTATACATATATATTATATATAGTGTATGTATGTACATATATACGTATGTGTGTATATATGAAGCAAACTTTTATTTTTCTTAAAATCACTCATCTTACCCATTTTAATTTTACATAGTAATCTTGTGTGAAGTCATTAAAACAGAGAAGAACAAATATGAGTAAAGGATATTAAAAAATTTTCCAGCAATGTGACAGAACTGAGAACTCACTGTGACAGAGTATAAAAGTGTTCTATAAAGTCTGGGAAGCAGCCCTGAACAATGAGCTTGCTCTTATTTTGAGGCTAGAAGTCTAGGCCATCAAAGATTTTAGAAGAAAGTGTAACAATATCAAGCTGCTAAAACTGTAGCCAAGTAATCTTATTTTGCAGGTATCATTTTATGTGACATGCGTATGACTTTTGGTCATGAATTTATCATTTTAATGACTTCTCTTTTATATCCTTATCATCATCAGAGAGATATACCATCTTCAAAAATGAAGGCTAACAAAAAATGTATTAAATGTATCTATAGTTTTCCCCTGCACTTAGAACATTCTAGGTAGTGACTGATTATTGTTCTGGCATTGCATTGTGAGTTATGAATGAAATTAGGTCATTTCCTTTCAGCAAAGTCCTTCATTTGCAGTTAAAGCCTGTGTGATAAAATAAATAGCATTGATCACTGATCAAACAAGTCAAAAATGAGACCCTTGTCAAAGGCAGTACTCTTTACAGAACATTCACTGAAGAGACCAAATCATTCAAGGCGTTGGGCATACAGACATCAACATTCAGTATGGGTGTGGGTCCCTCCTTGAAGAGCTGTGTAGCTTTGGGAGAGCCACGCCCTTAAGCCGTCTGAACATCAGCTTTCTTATCTGTAATACAGGAATGATGATAATATCAAGTCATTAGGGTTGTGTGAGAACTATTACGGTAATATCTTTTGATTCAAACACATACTAGAAGCCCCCAAATCCCAAAGATACTAAATATCAGAAGGGGCATTTTCACAATTAGTAATGTGGCTATTACAAGTATAAAGAAAAAAAATGACAAGAAGTAGAAGATACAGCATGATTTAGCACTTTGCTTTGGGCTCCTTGAGTTCCTATTATGACAGAGATCTAACAGTCATTAGTTTTAGATTGTACTAGGTGTCCTCATATATATTCCTGTAAAAATGATCGATAGTCACATGCAACATGTTTTTAAATGTGTTTATGAAAGGAGTGATATGAACATTTTTTCTGACGGGAGCCCTAGACCTAAAACTGAATTATGTAATTGAAAGCCATGAAATGCACAGCCAATTAAGAATGGTAACAGAAATTACATTTCAAACACTTTGCAAATTTAAATGCTACCAAGAGAAACCAAAATATGTACATCTAAAACTTAATATTTTTATAGTTACTTGTAATAGTATTTGATAGGTTTATATCAATAAGAAAAATTAGAAATATTATTTATGTTTATGCCTTTTTATAGCCCTTTACTACTTACAACATAGTGCTAATGCAAACTATCCATAGACTTTAGTTCATAATAACGTATTGATATTGGTTCGTCACTTGTAACAATTGCACCACATGAATGTAACTTGTAAATAATAGGCGGAACTGTGCAAGGGGGAGAAGGAACTACAATATTATGTTATTTCAGATATATCCTTGTAGGATGCCATGAAAAAGATAGTAATTGGCTGTTTATTATCTTAGTTAATTCTGCCTATTTTCTGCTAACATTATTGACAGAAATAAATCTTTTATATTAGACAAAAAATGAAATTCAGCATGTTAAGTAGGGGAATTAGAAAAAACTAATACAAAATTATATTTCAATGTTGAGTTGGCGGAGAAGTTGATGAAATAAACAGTCTGTTTCTATAAACTGGGGGGGAATAAAGATGCACACATTGTAGCTGAATAACTTGTGCCAATAAAGAGCTAAAAGCTAAAAATCATAGATATATTAAATATTGATTAATTGCCAAATGAATAACATTTATTAAGCTGGGTCCATAAATCATAGATGGGTCTCTAAGAGGGAACAAGGTGAGACAGTGGGGTTGTAGGGTCTGTTAACACTATGTGCATTTTCCAAGGACAGGGTCCATTGCACATATTTACCCATTGCTGCCGAGTCGATTCTGACTTAAGCAACTCTATAGGACAGAATAGAACTGCCTCACAGTGTTTCCAAGGATATAATCTTTATGGAAGCAGACTGCCACATCTTTCTCCCACCGAGTGATTGGTTGGTTCAAACCACTAACCTTTCAGTTAGCAGCCGAGTACTTAACCACTGGACCACCAGGGCTCCTTTGCTTATATTTAATGACCCCAGAATTTTGGAATCACTGTCTCTGTCAATAGACAGGTGTTAGTTGCATCTTGACTACAGTCCTACTAGGTCTTTTCTCCTGTGGAGCTGCTGGGTGGGTTGAAACAGCCAACCTTTCAATTAGCAGCCGAGCACTTAACCATTGCACCACCATAGCACTTTTAACAAGCGTTATAATCTGTGACCAAAGTTGAGGTCATAATAGAAGACTTTTTCTTTTGTTTTGTATTGTTTTTGGCTACAGTTAATTGGAAATGAGTACAAATAAGCCGTGGGAAGTAGTTAAGACAGTGATAACTGATCATTTTGTAAGCACTGCAATATAAAGTATACATTGTACGCTAAGTTAAGAATGTTTTTCTTTCAAGGTAACTGAACTGCACAACATCAAAAATATAACCAGACTGCCTCGAGAGACAAAGAAGCATGCAGTGGCAATTATTTTTCATGATGAAACGTCAAAGACATTTGCCTGTGAGTCAGGTAAGCAATTACAGCCCATCTACAATGTAAGGAAGCTGAGCTGCTCCTGAGACAATGGTCCAGATGGATTATGATGCTCTCCTGAATGGGAGGGCTTATTGTAATGAAAAAGTGCTGTCAAAGATTTGAGTATGCACTCAGCATACTGATTTCTGCAGATGTTTGGGGTGCTAGTTTGTTATCTGTCTGTGTCTGGATTTTGCTCCCAGGTGGTCTCAGGACTCTTGAGGTTTACGTTCAAGCTTTGAGAATTAAGTAAACAATGCTCAGGAGATGTTGTTAGGATGAGCATGTGGCTGGTATTCTGGTTCTTGCCAAACGTTGCTGTAGGCGTGTGGTAGGGTAATAATCTGCCCTGCAAAAGTGAGGCAGAGCACTGCCTACATCCTAGACATTTAAAAAATCTCATCAATTTGTTGCTTTTATGGATTCTCAGTACTACAAGTAAATCCATTTCAGATTGAATTTAGCATCCCAGTTATAAAGCACCATGACATTATTGAGATACAAGGCAGTGTATAGTTGGAGTTTGAAGTATTTTTCATTTTGGAATCCCAGTATTATGCAATATTTTAATTGGTTTAATATAGCTTTTTAAAGATTTTGCTCAAATGTCTCAGTAAAATATTTTTAAAAAAAGACTTTGCTCAATGAAATGGCACATTTGTTTTATAATGGATTGAAGTATAAGTTACTAAGGACTTCAGAAAGGTGAATTTAAAATAGTTAAGTCTTAAGAGAAGCTTTGTTGAATATTTTTTAAAGGAAAATAAAGCTTCTGATTTTATGGAGTTAGAGTTTATAGGTATAATTAATACCAGGCTATATTATTCTGAAACTTACGATATCATTTTGCTCACACCTCCTCATCCATACTTAACTTAGTTTTGTGAAACTGAGTTGACATTTATCAAACCATACCTCTTTCCTTGAATGCTTTTATCTGTCAGTCCTTCTGCCATAGTTTCAATGGCCGTCTGACCTCATTTCATCATTTAAAATGGACTTTTTGGAGTTGCATAGAATTCTGTTAACTGGCTATACAAATCCCCATTTTGTATTTGAACTTGTCCCAACCTTGTTGTTATCATGTATTAATTTACAGAATTATTTCTTCTTGTGCACTGTCTTAAACTGTTGCAGCATTTCATTTTTTTCTGAGTTCTTAAAAAAAGTCTCATGTTAAAACTAATAAACACCAGAAAATTGGTTTTCAAAAAAGATAATTTTCACTTAATTTTAAAATTTCATGTTGTTTTACATTTTTGAAATTGTATACTGAGCCATTTTATGGCAATATTGGAATTTGTTATGCAGGAGCCCAGGTGGTACAGTGGTTAAGCACTCGGCTGCTAACCTAAAAGTCAGTGGTTCAAACCTACCAGCTGCTCTGTGGGAGAAAGATGTGGCAGTCTGCATCCATAAATACTACAGCATTGGAAACTCTATGGGACAGTTCTCCTTTGTCCTGTAGGGTCGCTATGAGTCAGAATCGACTTGATGGCAGTGGGTTTTTTGGTATTACTCTGGAGACTACAGAATTTTTAAGATAATTTCATAGGAAACAGTCTAGGGACTGAGGAGCTCTAGGGCTTGATAAAGACATGACAAGACACCAAAAGTGTGATTCTTAACAGAGAAACAAAAATTATTAATAAGATGTCATCAACATTGAAACATTTTCTCTGCAAAGAGAATGAGAAGACAAGCTACAGACTGAGTGAAGCTATTGGCAAATCACATGTCAGGCAAAGAACTCCTCCCTAGAATCTATGAAAAACTTTCAGAACTCAATGTTTTAAAAATCACATTAGAAATGGGTAAAAGACGTGAAGAGACATTTCACTGAAGAGGATGTACAGATGGCAAATAAGCACATGAAAGACGTTCAGCGTCCCTGGCCATTAGGGAATACAACTTAAGACCACAGTGAGATATCATGACACACCTATGAGAATGGCTAAGGTAAAAGTTTTTAAAAAGCAACAAAACAAAGTACTAGCAAGGATAGGAGAAACTGGATCAGTTATACATTGCTGGTGGGAATATAAAATGGTAGTCATTCTGGAAAGCCATTTGGCAGTTTCTTATTCAATTAAACATACACTCCGTTTATATACAACCCAGATAGCGCACTCCTGAGTCTTTATATCCCAGAGAAATGAAAATGTACGTCCACACAAAAATCAGTACCTGACTGTTCACAGTAGCTGTGTTTATAGTAGCTCAAAATTGGAAACAACTAAAACGTCCCTAAGTAGGTGAATGGATAAACAAACACTGGTACATCCACACCATGGGATACTACTCAGCAATAAAAAGGAGCAAACTATGCACGCAACAGTCTGGATGAATATCCAGATTTTTATGCTAAGTGAACAAAAAAAACAACCAAACCCACTGCTGTTGAGTTGATTCTAACTCATAGCGACCCTAGAGGACAGAGTAGAAATGCTCTGTAGAGTTTCCAAGGAGCGCCTGGTGGATTTGAACTGCCGACATACTGGTCATCAGATGTAGCTGTTAACCAGTACACCACCATGGTGTAGTGGTTAAGTGAACAAAGCCAGTTTCAAAAGGCCACATGTTGTATGATTCTATTTATATAATATTCTTGAAATGACAAAATCATACAGATGGAAAACAGATTAGTGGTTGCCAGTGGTTAGGAAAGGTTAGGAGAGGGCGTGCCTGTGACTATGATGGGTAGCATGAGGCAGATCTTTGTGGTAATGGGACAGTTCTGTATCTAGATTGAGTGGTGGTTACACAAATCTACACATGTGATAAAATGTCATCAAACTATACACACACGGTACCCACATCAAATTCCTGGTTTTGATGATGTACTGTAATGATGTAGAATGTAACCATTGGGACAAACTGTGAAAGGTACACCAGGAATCCTCTGTACTGTCACTGCAAGTCCCTGTGATTCTGTAATTACTTCTAAATAAAATGTTAAACTCTGTTTCAGTATTGGTCCTTCTGAAATATTTCATATTTTCTAATAAGTAGGGAATGTGTGTCAAGAATTATGGAGAATCTGGTATTTTACTCTACTTAGAAGCTAATAGAGTCCTTAGTGGTACAAAACAATAGAGTCCTTAGCCCGTTGATACATTCAGCTGCTAAAGGTTCAAGTCCAACCAGAGGCACCATGGAAGAAAGGTCTAGTGATCTACTTCCAAAAAATCAGCCATTGCAAACTCTATGGAGCACAGTTCTACTCTGACACACATGAAGGCACCATGAGTCAGAGCCTATTCAGTGGCAACTGGTTTTTGGTTTTTAGAAGCTAACAATTTTATCTGTTGTTACTCTTTCATAGAGGCTAGTAGATGACAAGAGACCCCTGGATCAGAGAAAAATGAGTTCGTTACTCAAGACACAGTGATTGGCATGAACCTCAGCGTATTTGTACTGATGCCTTTTTCCCCCAAATCCCACAGAGGCAGTGTGACAAGCCTAGATGGATGCCTGCGTGTGCAGTGGGTTTGTGTCACAGCTGAGAAACTCAGATCAGAGCCCAGCACTTGCTGAGCTAGCAGTAAACATTACAACAAGCAACAAACAAGCCAGCCCCCCTCCCTCCAGAACGGACAAGTAGCTACCTGGTAGTTAAACAGTGGTAGCCTGGATGTACTTCATTGTCTGTGTGACACTACAGAAACTCTCTGTAAGGACCATTGCAGACTGGCATACTCAGCAGAAGAATAGGGAGGCTTCAGGCCCGTGATAGCCTGCCTCCCCCAACGATTCCTGTTGTTGTTGTCGTTAGGTGCCGTCAGGTTGATTCTAACTTATAGCAACCCTATATGACAGAGTAGAACTGCCCCTTGGGGTTTCCTAGGCTGTAATCTTTACGGGAGCAGATGGCCAGGTCTTTTCTCCTGCGGAGCCAGTAGGTGGATTCAAATGCCCAATTTTTAGGTTAACACAAACCATGTTGTTGTTGTTGTGGTTAGGTGCCATGGAGTCAATTTTTGACTCATAGTAACCCATGTGAAAGAGTAGAGCTGCCCCATAGGGTTTTCTAGGTTGTAATTTTTATGGAGCCCTGGTGGTGTAGTGGTTAAAGAGCTTGGCTGCTAACAAAAATATCAGCAGTTTGAATTCACCAGCTTCTCCTTGGAAACCTCCTAGGCAGTTGTACTCTGTCCTGTAGGGTCGCTATGAGTTGGAATTCACTAGATGGCAATAGGTTTTTTTTGTTTTTTGGTTTTTGTTTTTTAATCCTTACAGGAGCAAATCATCCGGTCTTTCTCCCTCATAGCCACTAGGTGAGTTTGAACCACCAACCTTTCGGTTACTCCCAGCTCCCAACAATAGCTCATGTTTATCTACTCAGTTTGCTGGTACTTC